AGGAAACAAAGAAAATGTCAAAAAAAGGGACAAACGAATTTTAGCAGTGTGCAACATAACCCTTTAGAAGAGAAGTACCATTGGAAAAGCAACATCTAGCATTCAACACTTGGAACAAGAGCCTTTTTCATTGCAAGAATTAACAAAATCATTCAAGCTTTAAAATCACAGCTAACAAAAGGATAAAAAGAGGGTGCATTATTTAACACAATATGGAGTTAACAATCTGAGTAAGATGTGCACGAAGTCATATCCTCAATCCAATCAGTGCCTCCCAGGCTTGCTTAAAACGTACACTCAATTACAGGCGTACCAATATAGAAAAAAATGTAGCATCAAGAAAACTTAATACAACAAGTCAAAAAAATTCACGTGGTATATCAGCGCTAAATACGTGAAACGGCAGATGGACTTCTCCACTTACCATTCAGCACCATCGCCAGCATGGGTATGTATACAGTTACCATGGTTACTGAGAGTTTGGTGAGGGCCCTAAGCGCTACCGTCGAAGGGGGAAAATGAAAAGGCAAAATATGCAACATCTTACTCAAAAGACGACAGCATTTTCAATTGGTATTTTTTTTTATTCTAACAAATACGACTGAGGCAGTATTGAAGGGGATCCAGTGGTACTAAACCGCATTTGTCTTGGTTTTTCCATAGATACGAACGGCTCAGGCCATCCAGCCAAAGCAGCCTGACAGTTTCATTAAAAATTAAATATTAATATTGGTCAGTCTATAGTCTGGCTTTGTTTCTTTTTCTTGTACATCTTTTGGATGCTTCTTTCCCAATCTGAATTTTTTGAAAGCCACTGTGGATCCCGCATCAACCCTGCAGCAAAAAAAAAAAAAAAAAACCAAAACAAAACAGAAAAAAACCCAATCTTTTGTTTGTTTTTGTTTTGTCTGTCACACTTTTTTTTTGTTGTTCTCAATTTTTTTTTTCTTTTTTTTGTTGGCTGGTTTTTGGAATCTACTGCACCCATTGATTTACAAAACATCCAAAATAATAACTTCAAAATATTAAAGCTTTCATTTTTTTTTCAATTCTGTCATCCACCTTTCAGCAATAATGATAATAATAATAATAATTACAAAAGAAATAATAATAAAAAACCCAAGTAAGGCCAGATTCTCTCTCTTTATATATAAATATATATATAAACAATGGGAAGGGGAAAGGGGAACACACAGAAGACACCAATGATGCATCTGAAACAACAAATGAGAGTGAAGCAGACATTTATAAAAAAGATGAAAAGGAAAATATTTTGAACATGCACCTCGATTTTACGGCCCTCTACCACGGTGCCGTGTAATTTCTCCCTCGCCCTGTCCGCATCAGCACTATTTTCGAAAGTTACGAAACCAAATCCCTGCATGCAGGAGGGAGAAGGGGGGAAAACAACATGCACATTATTATTTCAGTCAACGACCACTTGTTTGCTTATGTTCTCTCTCTTTAATTTAATATTTTCTTGTCCTTGCTTCATTTCTGTAACATGCAAATTAGAAAAATTATAATTGTATTGAGATGTGCAATAATAAGCGACAAATGTGAACAAATTTTTTCTGTCATCAGTTAGAAAATACCCTCTGAGAAATTCAAAGAATGATACCAAAAATACCTTTCTACATGTCACTACAGAGGAAAATAAATCTAACAATAAGAAAATGAAATTAAAATAAATTACAGTGTCTTCACATAGAAAAAAATGAACTAATGAGAAAAGAAAATGAACCACATTTTAATGACATGCAGATACCTCAACGAAATAAAAAACATGTGCACAAAATTCAACACTGAATGTCAATATACTCTAAAACATTGCCTACTTAATCATGCTGTCGTGATCATAAGAAACACTGTTCCCATGCAACACTAGGGTAACTTAAACTTTTGTCAAACTATACAGCCTTTACTTATTTTTTTATAAAAGAAAGAAAAGAAAAGAAAACCACCAACAAAACAAAAGTACTTTTAGAACAAAGTATAAACTTTCTCGTATTAACAGATCAAATAAAAAAATCACATGATGTGAATAGAAAAAGAAACTTTGATAAAGGAGTAAGAATGCAAATGTTTTGAATAAGTTTAACTGGTTCAGTTACTATTTATGTATATTACTTTCCCCGTATAGAACATGCAAGTGGTAAAACTCCAGAATCCCGTGGTAGTGGGACAGGAGAACACTCGACAAATATGAAATTCTGCTTATGACAAATGCTTTGCTTTATAACATTAGGCTAAACAAACATTTCCAATCCTACTAAAATTCTTTTTATTGTGCTAAGTTAAACACTGTTTACAGTGGTAAATCATTTTGAAAAAAATCAGACATTGAAAAATATTTTAGAAGCATACACCAACCCTTTGAAGTAATCCATTAGCACTACAATGCCTTGGCATGCTTTCCCAAAGTTATCCAAACAAATGAGCTTCTACATCCTTGGCCTTCCATAACAAGAAACATTTGCAGGTTATATGTGGCCGTTCACAACTAGGCATTGCTGCACACCTTTGAACTCCTACTACAACCTTCTTCTTTATTGTTACTTTAGCTCGAGCTGCGAGTTAAGGCTTTCCTCTGCTCCGTGCACCGGCAATAAGCCGTGCATCATGTCTCCTCCTTCCCCAGTCCATGCGCTAAGCTTTGCAGTCAGCAGTCACCCGCTTACTCTCTGCAATCCTACCATGTACATCGTGACTGAGTTAAAAAAAAAAAAAAAAGGAAGAGAAAAAGGAAGGGAAGATACTTATACATTTATTTATAAATTTTATGCAAAGAGGAGATCAAGTATGAAACTAAGGCAAAACTGACACCAAGCATTGAGAAAAACAATGGACGTGAACTACAAAACTAATTCATTGACAATCAATAAAAAAAGTTAAAAAACTATCAGGATTATCATACAGGTTATTTGGGTTATTTTACCTACACAAAGAATACATTTACTTATGCCAGTTTATAACAGAAAAAGTGACATTCATATACAGTAGCAGTTTATGCACCATTCTTTTCAAAGTAGCTTAAAAACATTGTTGCTCTTTTTTTTCTCTTTTAAAGTCACACTGAAGCCTGAGCTCAGAAGTGCTCCATCAGCAGTTCCACTTCTAGCTGAAGCCATTCTAAACCACCTGATTCCACACATTTTCTCCACTCTATCCTCCACAATTTTAGCACAAAGCCACGACCTCGCTTGTTATGAGACACTGAGGATGTAACTCTCCTTTCCCCAAACCACCAGGAACGCTGAGAAAAAGTAAATCCTCCTTCTCAGTACTAATCCCCTTCTGTTTTCGATGCCTACATGGGCTTTTCTTATACCTAAACCCATCCTCAACTTGAAACTTTTATTTCTTTTTCAACTGCTCCCTCACATCTTGTAAAAGCTCTGTAGAAAAAAAGCTTACAATTTAAGATGCCATTAAAAATATTTCACAGCATAAAATATCTGAAACCATTGACCCAATGAGCCTAGCTCCATGCAATAGTATGAATTCCCCAATTCGTTTCTTTTCTCCCCCTCCTCCTTGCTGAATAGCTGCCCCCAAAATTGCAAACATTTGAGGGGAGTTGTTTAGTCAAAATTTTGAATCCGTCTTCTTAGCTCACAGCACTACTGGTTAATTTTTTTCAAACAACTAAAGGGAAAGATAAAAACCTAATTATATTAAAAAATTAGAAAAAGATACAAAGTGGAGCCACAAGCCAAGATAAGACAGGAACTTCAAAGATTCTGAAAAGAATGCTCATTGTAATTTTTTTAATTTCTATGTCGTACTTATTCTCAGAATTATTTAAATTAAGCTCTTATTATTTATGCAAATCTTTAATTATACCTAGCTGACACAGAAACTCAATCACAGAACATAGATTCATTCATCACACATTCAAATATCTACACAAACATGTTAATTTTATATGCAGCTGAATCAACAGCTACTTAAGCTTAGCATACTATATATTTTATTAATTGGCAATGTAAATTTCTGCATTTTATTTTTTAAATCTATCAAATGATTTAATAATAGCCAAGACAGTACATGAGAAGGGTCTGTTTTAATTTGGGAGCTCCTCTTCTTTGAAGAAATATACGGTAATATAGTATATACTAGATCTATATTAATACATATGCACACAAACAGATTTATGAAAGTATATATGTAGTATAGAGCATTAATTTATAACTGTAAAAAAATGGTACTTGTTGGTGTTCCTGTATCTTTGCAGCTTTGCAGCTGTGCCCAAGAGAAAAGCCATTCGCATCTCCATGGAGAACTTCAGTGTTAAAACAGAGGAGTAACGTTAAAATATGCATAGTTGGGAAGCTATATTTCAAATTGTCCTTCCAAGATGAGTGGTAAGTGCAGAGAAATGTAAGTTATCAGCAGTTTTTAACGTTACTTTAATCAACAGCTTCATGAATTGGCAAAAGTAAACCTCATTTATTTAACACAGGTTGTAAGCAAGATCAACATCAAAACAATACTGAAATTCTTGCAATTCTTATAAAAAGGATTTCAAGTGTCAAGTGTTGTCATACAATTCTAGCAATTATCTTAATTATTGTTATTCCCCTAAACAAACAGAAATTTGTAGTTTGAAACTTGTATTATTTTAGGGTTTCTTTTACAGAAAGACTCCCTTCTGCAAAATAATGTTATACTTTATGGTGGTGATGAAGCATTACGTTTTCTGAATCTGCAATTCCATCTTTTTTAACTATTATGGTTTGAAAATGTCTTATTTTTGTTGGTTTTGCAAGAATCTTTTCAAACATTACTTATTGGAATAAAACCAAATACATAAACAAACAAAAAACCAAAAAAAACCCTAGCAATTCTTTTGTGCCAAACTGCGGCTAGAAACAAATTTGATTTTTGATCATGCAAACTTTTATACCTGTACTCAGTTTGAGACCACTTATTAGTCCTTTCAGTTTCAGTGGGATTTTATGAACATATAGACAAGCACTGCCAGAAATGGGACTTTAATATAGTGCATCTTAAATCTTACAGAACGGACATGAAATGATCAGGTTTTAAAAAAAAATAAAATGTTCCTTTTATTCCTAATCCTGTTTTTTTTTAACTTCTTATTTAATTCAGAGAATCTAAGGGTACTTCTGAAAATCAAGATACTACGTAGCTATACTCGAAATAACTCTAAACAAGATGAGGAGCAGTGTACATAAGCAATGAGATGCATCACAGAACTACTTTAAGTATCTTAAGCAGCTTATTCAGAGCCAGCCCAGATGCACCAACACAGCACTGGATTGCATCGAAGTATTGAATAAGAATAGGTCTTAGAGTCTCTAACACAAAGTGTGTAACGGAGGTAGTGACATGACAAGCCTACCTAAAAAATCTCTTCCTTGGGCAATCCTTTCTAGGAGCTTGTTTTTAGCACAAGGCACTGGGATGTTTTCGCTACTGCAAGATCACTATGAAAAAACTCAATTCAGAAATACCTCCTCACCCCATCCCCTAAATATTTTTAAAAAGCTTTTTATACTTATGCAGTCTGATGTAGATGTGGTGGTTGGAAGTCCTACATATGCAAGATTTAACGGCTAAACAAACGTGTAAACCACCACTACTGTGACGTGTGTACTCAGTTCCACTCCAGTTTCAACAGAACCAATCGAAGGTGACAGGAGTGAGATGTCTTTTGAAAAGTATAATAATATCCAGTAGAATCAGGTTCTGGACAATCAACATCATCTGCAAACATTATTGAAGAGTCATATAGCCTAACGATAATAAATTTCAGTCAGAGTAGGAGATTCTATGCCCTCAAATTGCATACATTTTGGTTGTTTACTGAAAAAAACCTCTAAACGTTCCAATTTGGTTTGGGCTAGCAGGCAAGGGTACTAATTAATGAAAGTCAGAATAATTTTGGCATAGGAACCAGGAAATTTCAGCTATTCAATTCTAAAAAAAAAATAAAGGTGATGGCTTTAAATTTAAAAAATTAAATTAAACACAAACACTTTAAGGGAAAAATTAACAGAATTAAAATATAGATAATTTAAGAGAGATTTATGATATATCTGATACTTAAAAAATGACAGATTGCAGTATGTCTATAACAGGAAAAGAATTTCAGCACTAACAATAAATCATATATGAGAGTTACAGGAAGACTGAAGCATTGGTGGATAAACATTCTATTGTGTCTGACATGGAAGGAAAAGGAAAAAGATATCATGCATATGAAATAAACATAAACCCTTATAATACAGTTGACATCATAGGTGAAGTATACTGGGCTAGTTCTGCAGCAGCTAATGATAGCCATTCTATCTTGCCTTATTTCTTAAATACTTAATAAACTGAAGTATGCATTGCAGGCAAAGTAATTTTCAGAAAAAAAAAAGGTTTGCAATACAATAAGAACTATTTTAATAAAATAAATATTAAAATAGATTGTTTTCAAAGGGTTGGTGTACTGGAGCTTTAAATAAAGAGGAAAACATCTGCACTTAGTTAACCTAGACCAATCACATATTTTCTCAGCTAATTACTAAAGAGGATAGTTATTAGGTATCATTATCATCTTTCATTTCAATAGGGGAAAAAAACACCTCTACTAATACAAACCTGCCTACAAATATGTGTATGGACTCATCTTGTAAAATAAACAAGATAATTACCATTGAAGAATAAAGACACCAGAAATCAACATTCCCATAAAAGATATGACAGTTTGGAGTAGTTAAAATTATCCCCTTTAAAAGATATAAAATTAGTCCAATGATTTTCATGCTGGTTATGACTGAATGACAGCTCAGAAGATGTTTTTACTAACATGGAATTTCAGATGTTCTTTTTTACAGCAGTGCAGTTGTTTCCTTTTACTCATATAAATATTTTAAACAAATTTAAAAATTCCATGGGTGAATTAAACTGCTTACCTTCGAGCCTCGCTCATTAAAAATAATTTCAACATCTAAGATTTTACCAAATTGCTGCAAAGAAATAGAAAAATCACATGAAAACAAGATAAAAGATAACTTCAACAGTTCTATCACATACAGTAAAAATGATTGTTTCAGAAAATGGTGCACAACATTAAAAAGTTAAAGAATATAAAATCAAAGACAGTCAAGCACCAAAAAAGACACACTGAAGAGGAGTCACATCAATATTACAACTAAATTGTCTGTATCATTACACTTGTCACTACCATTCCACATATGTACTTATGAACTTTAAATTCAGTTAAACCACCTCACAAGGAGGAAACCATCATTAAACCAGGATCACAGTAAAGTGAAAGTCCCAAATTCCCCTTTTTTATCTTGTCTTTGCACATAGTAGGTTACTTCCTTGTGGTCCATCCAGTCCAGCTGCCTTTTTTTTTTTTTTCATATGTAATATGCTACTGCTTAATTTGCTTGGAGTGTAAAAACCGCTCACAAGACAGGATTAACAGCTGTGCGAACGATGTTGCCCTCTGTTCATCCTTCCCTCTGGAGACCTTTTGTTTCAGAAGACTTTTTTGAGCTGCTTTGCAGGACAGGTAAAGGAGTTTGGTTACTTCTGCTTTACAGGAATAAGATTTAACCAGCTGGGAGTTTTGTCATTGGTCTCAAGTAGTGAGAAATTCTCTCCACTCTTGCTGAAAAGGGATAACCGTTAATCCTTAAGCAAGTCTTGTTTTACTAGAGTATAATTTGGAAAACTAGAATGGATACTTGTTGGGGATTTTTCCCTGCTCAGAACTGCAATTTTATTATAATATTAGTAGTAACTGTTATTACTATTGACCTTACACCTGCACTTGCAATCATCCAGGCATTGTTTACACACACAAAACTTGACAGTTTGTATCCAAAAGAAAAAGGCTTTATTGGACTTGCCTTAGTAAGAAATAAATGTTTGACTTGGGCAGAGTTTAGTTAGAACACTCCAATATGACACATTTTGTCATGTGGCATTGTAATGTATCAGCAGGTCATTTCCTTTATTTCATGTCATTAACATGCAGTATGAATCAATATTAACACCGATAAGTGACACAAAATATTAAATAAAAAGGCAGAAATCAGAGGCAGGCAAATGAAAAGTAATCTAACAATAGTCCAAGGAACTGCAGAAATGAGTCTATACTTCAGTATTTTAACATGTAATAAACAATTACAGGCCAGAAAGGACAGCATTCCTTCTCTAGCTTATTAAAATATTTCAACTCGGTTAAGAAAACCCACTGTCATTTGTTATCCCTTGGCTTACTTGATGTCATAGTATTCCCTATCTAATTAATGTTTTAACTGCAACTTTGGCCTATAAGCAGACATTGACTTAAGCTTTAAACAATCCTCCTCTGCTGTATTTATGTCCCTGTAAAAAGATCATCTGCTATGTGTATAATGTGGTCATGATGCAGCATTACCATATTTCAGATTTTAACTCACACTTGCAGAAATTTCATTTCTCTATCAATTCAGAAGATAAAAGCTTACTGGTACCAAGGCATTCTAAAACTGGAAAGCTCTAGCCATTTTCTAGTGTTAGTCTTCTGAGACCTAAGACTTAGATATATTGAAAAGAAATGTATTTTTTATTCACTTATAAATTACTACAATCCCTCAAAAAAGCCCCACCTTTAATTTAATGTACTTTCAAATAAAATCCATCTACTTTAAGTGGTTTGTTTAATTTAAATAAATTTGCATATTTCCCCCTAGGGGGTTAATTATTATGCCTTCTGCTATTTTGCTGATGTGTTGTAAGTTGCATTTAGGGGAGTTTACTTCTAGCAAGTCAGATATGGCAAAACAGTCACTCTCATTTCCCAATACTATACCAGGATTCTTTTTCCAGTGACCGTTTCCTTTACTTCATACAAATAAACACTGAAAAACACAGTCTTATCTCACATACAAAGACACTAGAGGAACTTAAAAATCTGAATTGAACATGAAAGTTGGAGAGAAGCATAGTGCCATGAAGTACTTGATGCTGCAATGTATAACAAATAGTAACACAGAAGATAATAAGTTTTAATGAGTCAGAAATAAGAAAACAACAGGAATACAAACACTTAAGAGTACTGACTTGGAAAAGGAAAAGATGAGTTCTGATAGCTGATCAAGTACTATTTTTAAATTTTATTTAGTGACAGTTCAAAATAGACTTCAGAGCTCTTGGAGCAGGAAGAAGAAACCAGGTCTAACCTCTCAGGGTTATGAGCCTAGAACTGAAGGCACGTATGAGATGCGTGAAACACAGCCAATGCACGTGAAGGAAGCTAATTGCCTGGCAAAAGCAAAAACTGAGACTTACAGAAAAATACTGGCATAGACTTTAGAAACTTACAGACCTACAATACTTGTGGGAACAGGTGAGTATTCCTGTTCCTTGACTTCTTGGCTTAAATTCAGCCCATGTCTTAGATTTATAGATTTGAGTCCCTTGCTCATGAGGTCAAGCATTGACTCTTTTATGTCATGCTCTCCAAAATCCATAAATACAGGCATAGAAATCCAGATGTGTACAGCAGGAATATATATGCATTCCAGACTTTAAGCCCATATAGGTAGCTTTTTTTTGAATGTAATACAAAACAGCACAATACATAGAATACACTTGTCTGTATGCCATACAGTAGAATCAGTAGACTTGCTTTTCCCAATTGTGACCGGCAAATTGGATATCTGGTCATTAATAAATTAAAAGAATCTTTATTGAAAATAGTTAAACAGCCTAAATCAGAGATACTGCTATCCCTATATCAGAGATACTGCTCTCACGGTTGCCTATAATATAAAATATCTATTGTAATGCAAAAGCACAAGTAAAGTATGAGTACTTACACCAAACATTTGTCTAAGATCTGGATCCCGGAATCTGAATGGTATATTTGAGACGTGAAGCCGTTTCGGCTGTGATTTGTTTTCTGTGTTTTCAGAAGATTGTGTCTGTTGCTGGCCATCGGTCTGTGCTGCATCATCTGTCTGCTGAAAGGGTAAAACAAAACAAAGTGAAGCACACTAAATATTTCTGCCATTTTTAATACAAAGTGGTGGCCTTAAATTCTCAAAAAAAAAAAAAAAGATGAAAAAGGAATTAAATCTGCTTAAAGGTACTGAAGAATACTAGAAGCTGAAATACATGAAAATCAAATCCATTTCTATATCCGTCTCAACTGTATATGTTCTCAGTGATATTTTTAATATGTGTTTGGAATAAACTGGACAATAGGAAGGAGATTTTTATTTGTTGATTTTCTCTGCTATTTTTAAAAAATGAATAAATATGTGTCCCTATATTAAAAGACTGTTGAAACCCCTTTAACCTCATCAGTGTTTGTCAATGGAAGAAACTGAATCTCCATGTCCAAATAACAGCCTGCTTGCAGAAGCAAGCTGTACACTTTCAAATAAGATTAGTACTTCCATTCAGAGGCCACTGGGACACCTACACAGGAGGTAGGTAACACATCACATCCTAGTTGCCATTCCATAAGCAGTGCTAACGGGCACTAGAGGGTCATTTTGTCTAGATAAATGGTCACCATTATGGAAAAGGCCTTGAGATGTGAAAGGGAACACAAGTATAGTCAGTGGTGAAGGTTGCCTGACATAAAAGTGAGATCGACAAACAAAGCGTTACAGATATTCTTTCTCATCCAAATAAGATCATATCATGGTACTTCTTACAGGGATACTGTTTCCTAGTTTTAAAATGCTATTTTATAATTGAAGGACATTGCTGAGTCTTACAATTCAACAAACAAGCAGAATTGTAAACCCCTACAGAGATTAGGAAAAAACAATGTTCTTCATCCAAAAATCAAAGCTAACCAATGCTGAGTTACAGTATATTACAGAAAATTCTGGGCTGTGTTCTTTAATGATATCATACAGTTCCTAATTAATCACTGCATGTGCAGCACACATTCACTAGAAAAAGAATTTGCATAGGTTATTTTCCAGCATAGTTATTTTCTTTTGCACTGGTAGAGGGGATTTGGAAAAAAAGAATCATAGAATGCTTTGGGTTGGAAGGGACCTTAAAGACCACCTAGTTCCAACCCCCCTGCCATGGGCAGGGACACCTTCCATTAGATAAGGTTGCTCAAAGCCTCATCCAGCCTGGCCTTGATCACTTCCAAGAATGAAACTACAACGATCATCTTACAACCGTTACTTTATTTTCTCTGTCCTCCCTCTTCCTTCTGAGCATATTCATCTTCCAAGTATTAATTTTTCTCTTGTGTTCTAATCTTAGTTCAGCTCGCCTTTCTTTTTTTCATAAAAAAAAAAAAAGAAATCTCCTATTTCCTGCTAGTATCAAATTTCTTTCAAGAAACAACAGTTACAAGCAAAATAAAAATGGTTAAATAAAATAAACCTTACCACACAGTTTTAGTACCAATATGCCTGTTAAGGAGGAAGCAAAAGAACTCAAACAGAATATATAATTGACATCAGCAATAACTACATATAAATTTAATTCTAGCAAGTTAAATGCAACATCATCTTCCCCAGTAAATGCAAATGTTCTCAAATACAAAGTACAAACATCTACAATTTCCTGTATTGCCTGCATTTCTGTGCTAAGAACACTTTACAAATAAAGGTCTTTATCATTTCTGCAGAAGATCAGTTCATCAGCAGTGTCTACATCGAACGGGATATGATGATACTCAGACACAAACTTTTGTGTCACTAAACAATGATTTTCAAGTGATCTAAACACGGAACTGGGAACAGCTCTAGTGTAAACCTAAAACTTAGTCAATGCCACCACATCTCTTCATCTGCTACCCTCTGAACTCACAGGCAGGGTCCCACAAACTAAACAGTTCATTTTTACAAATTTCTAGTGATTTAAATACTAAACACTGTATACAGCTTTTAAGAGATAAAAACGTGTTCGATGCTAATCTCTTGCGATCTAAAATCAACTCAAAAATGCAAAATTTAGATTTTAGACAACTGTTCCATCCATAAACACCACAGAGATTACTTTCTACCTTCAGGCCTTAAAAGGAGAGAAATGCGAAGGGAATTTGGTACACTAGAGCAGGTGGGGGATAAGGGACAGGAAACTCTTGAAATACAACACTCCAGAAGAATTTAAGGTCAATTAGATTAATCTGAAGAGAACTAAAGAATTCTGAAGGAGCTGTTCAGCTTCGGGAACAAAGGGCGCCCCAGGAAGAAATTATATAATCAGCGTACTGTATCAATGCAAATTGGAAAAAGTAATTTCTGTTCACTGTATTAATATAAATGAAGTGAAACAAGGAGTAGGAGGGTTGAACCATGCACTAGGAGCACACCAAAACATTAGAGGCAGCTTCTGTACCAAGAAGCCGAACAGATATATTGCCAACAAAAAGCCAGGGAGGTTTCTGAAGATGATGCTAAAATGAAGAAGCTACAAATTATGGGTGAAGTCGGTAAGTCCAGGTACTGTTAGCTTCTGGGTATTTCTTTTTGGCTTTACCACTTTTGTTCACAGAAGCCTGAAACACACAGTTTCAGCAAAGAATGTCTCAGAGTTTGCACAGTGAGGACTGAAAACCAGAAACTTCAGAAAGTCACTATCATCAAAGATTCATCCCTGTAAATGCCCTTAAAGAAGTCTGTGGTAGAATTAACAGAGCTAAAGCATTTAAAATGTATTAAGAGGTTTGACAATATAACAGTGTCTTTACAAATCATATTATTATCCAGAAATCTACAGTTGAGCCTAGGAGATCTGGAGAAGGATAACTGCAAATTGAAACTGAAATGCGAAGCTTATATAAAAAGTTCCAAGTAACACCAAGGAGGTGAAATACCCACAGGACAGAGGACAGGTTGGATTTGGTAAAATCCCAGGAAAGGAAAGTTTCAAAGCCTGGTGGACTCAAAGAGCTAGAATACAATTCACCTTACACATAAATAATACATTTCAAGAGAATATTTTCATTGCTAGAGGACCTAAAGACCAGTGTTTGATATTTTTTAAAAATTAATTGAAGTTCGTATATGACATTAGCCTCGCTATATCCCTGCAGTCTAGCATGCAATCTGTACAAGTCCTGATCTATTATGGGTTTGGTCTCTTTCAATACCCTCTCCTGATTCAATCAAGCAAATTAGTAGCTTCATGCAAAACAAATAAATAAATAAAAAAAAACCCTAAGCCATATCATTAAACAGAAATTGCATAAAAGGGAGTATAGAGTATAGGGAGTGTTTCTTTCACATAAGACTTTTTTTTTTTTGAGTACAAAGCTGTATCAGAGTTACCTTCATGTATCAAAAAGTCATGAATTTAACTTTGTGAAGCGATAACAATTCATAAACCAATTATTAACACATTTTACCAGTGGAAGGATCTGCTATTTGGTGGTCCTTGCTTTTCCTTGTGTGTGTAATGGTTTTTTTTTCCTATAGAAGATGTCAATGTACATTCATATACAACTTCTAATCCATTATAATCTTGTTTATGGAACTGCTCCCTAATCTGTGATTTTCCATGTCGTATTTGTGCAGTTTCATACTGCTGTGTCAACTGCATCAACTTGCACTTGATGTTTTCGAATAGCATCTTATTTTTCCAGATGATACCTACAATTTATCAAGATTATTTTGAATTCTAATGCTGTCACAGAATCATAGAATGGTTTGGGTTGGAAGGGACCTTAAAAATCATCTAGTTCCAACTCCCCTGAAATGGGCAGGGACACCTGCCACTAGACCTTCCTTTTTGAATCCAGCATTATGTCTACTCTATTCCAGTTCTCCAGTACCTCTACTCATTCTCCACAAGGCAACAGAGACAGACACTAACGGCTCCAAAATATTATCAGTTTAATCTTTAAACACCTTAGAACGGAGCTAATCAGCAACAGTTAACCGAAAAAAAACCCCCACACCTTATGTGCCTGAATATTTTTTGTTTTCTTTCTCTTTCAGACTGACAACTTTTTCCGACAGTTGGGAAATTATTGTAATAATCGCCCAGCTGAGGCTGACTTCTACAGTGAGGAATCATGGAAAGAAGAAAGGCTTTCTAACTCTTCTCCCAAGACTGCATTTCATATTCACTCTCAAAGATTCCCTCTAGCCTGGCATGAACTATCAGTTTCTCCATCCTGGCTCAAGAACAAGTTTCTCCATCTTTCCCTCTAGAAGAACCTCTCTCCTGGTTGCCTTCTGTACATTCGGTTGCAGAACTTGTCACCAGCACATTCCAATAGCAATCTCAATTGACAGTCTGGCTGCAGGAAGCATCAAATCACCTGAAATCCCTGTAATTCTTTACTTTAGTACTGTACCTCCGGTTGCCTACCAAAGATCTCATCCATTGAATCTTACCAGCTGGATGTCTATGATAATTTTCAGAACAAAGAGGTCCTTTTTCCTCTAACAGTTATCCAGAGGCCTTTAAGAGTGTCTCTCCTTCCACAATTGTGACCTTGGATAAGGCACCCCGTTAAATTACAAGGGAATATTTCCTTTCTTGTCTCAAGATTTACAACTTTATTTTCAACAGCATATAGTTTTTGCAGGTATGAATTTTCAGCACAATTTTGATTTCTTTAATGGCACATTATGCCCTTCTATGGTAACATGATTGGTCACAACAGTTATCATGTGACTATGTGGTCCAGTGTGGCCACAACGTACACCATAGATGCGGACACGGTTGGTACAATATTTATTACAGAGCATCAGTAAATACCCCAAAACAGACTGCTTCCATTTGCAAAGCCTGAGGTATGGCATTTCTAGGAGACTGTGAATTTCCTGAACATTTCTAGAACCCTACATCATGCTTCATAACTGTTAAAGCTATAAAAAAAACCCCCAGTGTGTGGCAGTACAAATAATTTAAAAATAAGCTGTTTTTCTGAACAGGTAGACCAAGACCATGAATGCACTGGGAACTGAAAGCACTGGTAATACAGACTCTTAGTGCTATAAGAGATCAACAGTAACTGCAGGTTCTCAGCACC